TGAGAGAGAGACAAATTTGATAAACTAAATTTCTTTTAAGGGGGGAGAGTTTTAATACCCGGAATTAATTTTAAAAAATTAAAATTAATATATAGAAATATAAATTTTAATTTTATAAATTTTTATTTAATGTAAAATAAGAAAAAAATAGGTGGAAGATGAAATTGAAAATAATTTTGAGAAATAAGAGTGAAAATTTGGGTTCGGGGGGTATTTTTGAAAGAAAAATAAAAAATTAAGGGTCAAAATATAATTTAAAAAAATGTGTCACATATAACCGCCCAGTCAGCAGCCCTAACATACTAGAGCGCGCCACACATTGACTCGGTGCCACACGAGTGGCCACGTTGGCAATCTGCGGCCCGCAATCGGACGGTCCAGATTTATTCCCGCGCGCGTGAACAACCCAGACTCGTTCCCTCTTTAAACGCGATTATATGGTCCATATCAAATCGCGATGAATGGTCCATATTCATTTTCTCTTTAAAAGCAATCGGACGGTTGAGATCAAACGCGATAAACGACCAAGATTAAAGAGAGACGGGTATAAATATCTCACTTCACACCGAACCTTAACCCTAACTGCCAGCCCCCCGCCGAAAAAGAAGAACCACTCGTCAGAGAAGGAAGTCGACCGCCACCCGCCGCCATGCCGGAGCCACCTCCGACTGCCAAAAAATGTAAAAAAAATTTCATTCGCTTGAAATTTAATTTTGAACGCCCCTATGGCAAAATAGGAGCAAAAAGACCAGTGGATGAGCCAAAAATCGGGGGGTAAGGTTCGACGGCACCGCTGCAGGAAAAATTAAAAATCACATCCGATGAGGCCCTTTCCGATTTCTGTTTCATGTGATTTTTCCACCATTATATTCACTATTCTATTTCTCACAACTTGACTGAAGAAAAATGTTCAACTGCGAATGTGAGCCGGTGGAGACGCTGCACCGAAAACTCCACCACCGGTAAGTTTCTATTTTTTAATTTTTTTTTGCCAATCGAGGCCCCTTAACATATTTTCTCGCAGTAATGAGTATAAAATCAACCAAAATCGACCAAAACTGGCAGAAAACAGCTAGTCCGAGTCAAACTGCCATCGCGGGTAGCAGTGCCGTCGTGCCGGAATTCCAAAATTGGCTGAAAAAAGTTTTTAACACCGATTTTTAAATTTTTAGGGTATTTCTATTTAATTGAAGCGTGTTTTAATCTCCACATGAAAATTTTGAAAACCTAAGGACCGATAGTAGGCACAGCTGAAAGTTTAGTATTTCGGACACTAATTTAAGTAAGAATCTTTCACCCTATTCATTGTTATGGAATTGAAGTTTAATTATAAATAATACGGTATTTTGTGTAATTTAAAAAATCTTGATAATTAATTACAGATTAAAAATGGAGCCAGAACCGGTTATTTATCACTATTTATCTTGTTTCAACTGATTGATTGATTTTATAGTTTTAAATGCATGATAATACACTGGAGTTGGTAAGATGATTCAGTTGTATTTCCTTGAAATATGTATTACTTGTTTTGCGTGATTTATGGTTAAATTATGAAATTAGATATTAAATGTAAACGGAGAATTGCTTGATTAAATGAATGAATGAATGGTAACCTTACTAGATATCTTGAGATATGGTGGACAGACCGAGTGCATAGGGAACCCTATCGTGAACATTGTCATATCGGACGGGGTATCGAACATTGGTATTTTGGCACTCATATCGGACGGAGGGGACAACCCGTTTCACTTTCATACCAAACAGAGTATTGAGGGATAATATTTTTGGCGCTCATACCGGACGGGGTATGAGACAACTGGTTAGTTTACAATGTTGAATAAGGATTCAAGCGTAGTGAGGACATCTCTTTGGACCCTCATGGGTACTAGTTGGCAGATAAAAATAAAACATTATTGTTATGGTTAATTGAATATGAGATTATAATATTGTTTGTGTTATTACCTCTATAGGTCAATTTTGAAAAATCTCGCTATAGTAAATATACATTAAATAATTTTATTTATGATAAATAAATTTACTTAAATTAAGAGCTCCATTAGTTATTTTCATGATTTTTACCAACATTCTTTTCTGTATCAGTGAGTAGTGTGACATTCTTACTAGCCTAGTGTAGTTCACTCTTTTATTAACTATTTCAGATCAAAATGACCAATATGCAGATCCCGATCCACAAGAGGGTTGCGAATAAGATGTTCAATTGTTTACTTTCCATTTATTTCTTTAATTTTTCGTTGTTCTTTTAAAAAAGTCATTTCCGTAACCCTATTGGGTATTTTAAATTATTGTATAAGGAATGTAAACCTTAACTTTATTATTTTGCTTCTGCATTCAATTTATAATTTATTTTCTTTCAAGTTTCAGACTGTTACAATGACAATCTAAATTGTAAAAGTGTGTTACTATATTCACAACTAAGACATAGTACATAACTTTGACCAAAGCAGATAAAGAAATGTTTTGGATAAAAAGATTTCTTGAAGAATTGAGTTTGTTAACAAGCCCACGTGAAATAGGTTGCATGTGTTCGACTCGATTTCCATAAAAGGGCCTGTTTACACATACAGTGATTTGATTTGATTCAGAATTTGTCTAGTAATTTTTTTTTTATATTAAAAAACTTTTTAAGTAAAATTTTATATTTATTATTTTTACGGTTATTTTTTTTACTAATCATTATTATTATTTTAATTTTCACAATTAATTATTTTTTAATGAAGACCCAACAAATAGATGGTTATGAATATTTGTTTTTTAAAAAAATTACTTATCACTTTGGAGCTTCTTGATAAAAAAGAAAATGTATCCATGCGATATACTTGCCAACTCTTGTCCAGAATTTGCAATCCACCACTAGGTTTTGCTTATCAGTTTATTCCCACGTGTTATATGTTGCAATTGCAAATGGGGAAGCTGGGGGAATGGGCTGGCAACTTTTTTTTTTTTTTTTTTTTTTTTTTGTTGATGATATTACCTTTTCATGGGGAGTATGCTGGGCCTTACACTTCTTTTCTTTGTACATGTATCTTCTTCTCCTTTGTTGTAATTCTTTTTTCTCCATTTTAAATGTGTTTCTTCTTCTGTTAAAAAAAAAAAAGGATAATCTTAAGAAAATTATAGTGCGGGGAAAATAATCCAAGTCCACCAAATTTTGGGGACATTATGATTTAAGTAGGTGGCTGCATATTTTTCGTCTCTTCATATTATTAATGTTCATCCAAATCCGTGTCAAGCTGCTACTTGTAGTAGTGATAATAAGTGTTGGTCGTATTCTAGTGGTATATGAATACTTTCAAATCTTCAAACCATGGTTGCTCTACAGGTAATCGCATCAGGCACATTCCAATAATTGATGACAAAGGGAATGTTTGACATGATTTTCACCGGAGATGTTTTCCGTGCAGTGATGAGCGAACCCAAGGAGGAGTTTAGATGCTTATATTCCAGTAATTCTTTGCTTATGTTTCATACTCTTCAAATAAACCTATAAGTATGCTTTATTTAGTGCCTGCCTGTCTTCTTGTGGTATATTTCAAATTTTTATTTTCGTAAAATTTTATAGAGTGGGTTTTTGGACAGTAGATACTAAATTAGTTTTTAAAAATAATAGTTGATTTCATTTTAAATTTTTTATTAAAAAAAAATTATTTATGATTAGACTATGAAATTTGATTGAGTGCATTCTTGGAGAGTAGACACTCAATCAACTTTATAAATAATAATAGTTTATTTATCTTGTTTATGATATTTAAAAAAAATTTATTCAGATTACAAAGTTGTATTACTTGTTTTAATTTAAAATTATATTAAGATAAGTTTAATCAAAGTTCTCATTCTAATTAGAAGTTACACCAACTAAAATTAATTAAAAATTTCAATTGATTTTTTAATAAAAATTATGTTAAATTAAATATATATAATTAATTAAAATTTTAATAAAATTATAATTTGTAATAAGAACTTAATTATTTTAATTAAAATTAAAATTTAAGAAAAATTGAAATGTTTGATAAAGGGGAGAAGAAGTTTATAAATTGGGGATTCCGACATGTGGGCTGCAGATAACCGTCTGATGCGTTGAAAGACGCGAGAAGAAAGAAATGGATCGGGAGATGTACAGGCGTCGTTCTATGGTAATTCGCTTTCGATGATTGTGTTTGTATTTGTAGAAGAAACAGAGGAATGGACTTGCAAATCAAGGTCGCGCAGGCTGTTCATGTGCTGAATCACGACAAGGAATCTTGCAACCGTGTGGCCGCGAATCAATGGCTGGTTCAGTTTCAGCAGACAGATGCTGCTTGGGATGTGGCTATTTCTATACTCACTTCCGATCATCAGTTCCTTGCCTCCGATTTCGAGGTGGAATTCTTTGCTGCCCAGATTCTCAAACGCAAGGTCCTTTCGCTTTTTCCCTTACAGACGCATTGTTTTTCCAATTATATGTGTTCGCCTGCTTCATATCTTGCCTTACTTTTTGGAGAAATTACCGGGTTTTGGTGGTATAAATTTCAATACTGTTTCCACCCTTTCCGTCTTCCGTATGGTTGCAAGAGAATCTAATCTTCAAGGCTTCAAGTTGGTTTAGTGTGATAATTAATTATTTTCTTTAATTTTCTATTTCATGGAAAGGAGGACACTGGTTATCTTTCAATCTTCATCCTTGATCATTTAGTTAAGATATACCGCTAGGTAAACACATTCTTTAATATACTGTTCCAGATCCAAAATGAAGGATGTTATTTGCCATCTGGAGTTAAAGATGCTCTGTTAAATGCTTTGCTTTTGGCTGCAAAAAGATTCAGCTCAGGCCCTCCCCAGGTGTGTCAGTAGGACTCTGTTGGTCCTCCGTTCTTGTAAGGACTGAGAATCATTTGTTTGGATTTACTTATTTTGGCTATGTATTTCATCTGTTACCTTTCCTCTTCTCTCTCTATGCCCATCTCCTCTAAATCTTGTTTTCGTTGTTGTCTTACTGACTTAGTTTATTGGCAGCTTTTAACCCAAATATGTCTTGCTCTCTCCGCGCTCATGCTTCGCGCAGTTGAGCATGGAAAACCTATTGAGAAGCTTTTTTACAGTCTCTGGAACCTGCAAAATCAGGATCATGGCAATATTGCAGTGATGGAAATGCTAACTGTCTTGCCAGAAGAAGTTGTTGACACACAAGCTAGTGATTCCAGAATAAGTTCTGTTCTAAGAAATCAGTATGGACAGGAGGTTAAGGATTTCCTTTTCTTTTAACTTTAGTAGGCATATTTGTATCTGTTATCCTATATTTTGGCTTTTTATTTCATGTCTTAGCTGTGCTCTGTCTTACTTCTTATGTTGTATTTATGCATGCTGAAAGCAGCTACTTCTGCAGACTCCAATTGTTCTGGAGTTCCTACTGCAGCAGTCTGAGAAACAGGTTGATAGCAGTGCTCAATTACATGAAAGGAACAGAAAGATTTTGCGATGCTTATTGAGTTGGGTAAGATACTATTAAACTGTTCTCCCAATGTTATGTTATTGGCAAATGACAAAAAGGCCGTTTTTTTGTCCAATTGAACTGTAAATCCACTTTTCCTGTTCTTGTGCCCAATCAAGCATTGGATGTGCTTAAGCATTTGTTCATGAATAATGGGTTGGCTTAGGGGCCTTTTCACATTATGATAACACTCCTAAATTCAGGTCCGGGCTGGGTGTTTCTCAGAGATTCCTCAAGGCTCACTTCCTGCACATCCACTTCTTAATTTCATATTCAATTCTTTGCAGGTAAATTCCATATATATTTATATATTTGAGAAGTAAAAATGTATTAATAAGTCATCAACTGGGTGCAACTCATATACGAAATACTTACAAAACGTCTATGAGGTGTTGAAATCCTCGCTTGAATACAGCAGTTGGCCCTTTACCCCGAAAACTTACAGCTTTAACCAAGAATCTTTGGATCTCTTTCTTTCAAAACTGTGTCTATATATACCTATATATATTTAAGAATTGCTGTGTCTATGCAGATAGCTTATATTTGTTGTGGCTTTTTAGGTTTCTTCTTCATTTGACCTGGCCATTGAAGTTCTTGTTGAACTTGTGAGCAGACATGAGGTATGTTAAAGATCGTACTCTACCTTGATTGGGATGTTTATAGTTGTTTTTTTATACATTTGGTTTGGTCTGCTCTTGTAGGGGCTACCTCAGGTTTTATTATGCCGAGTACATTTCCTTAAAGAAGCACTCCTATTGCCAGCTCTTGCAAATGGAGAAGAAAAAGTAATTGCTGGTGTTTCATGTCTGATGTCAGAACTTGGGCAGGCTGTACGTACTTAGACAGGGTTATGCTCTTTTGTTTATTTGCATCATATGT